CAGGCTCAGCACCACCAGACGCCGGACGAGCAGGTCCAGCACCCTCAGGCTCCGCACTCCGAGACTCAGCACCCCCAGGCTCAGCACCCCCAGTCGCAGCACCCCCAGACCCAGCACCCCCAGTCGCAGCACCCCCAGACCCAGCACCCCCAGGCTCAGCACCACCAGCAGCACCAGAGTCAACAGCTACCTCGACTGGCTCAACTGCATCTACCTGGGACACACCTGAGGGAGCAGGACCCTGAGGGGGGAGGGGGTCTACCGGAGGGGGGCCTGGTGTAAGGAAGAGCGGCGGGGGAGGGAGGGACGCAGTGCGGTAGGGGAAGAGACGGTAGTAGGGAACCGACTCGTCAAAGGTGACGTCCTGGGACGCGAAGACACGGCGCGAGGTGGGGTGGTAGAACTGCCAGCCTGGCGCGTCAGGGGGAAAGCCAAGGAAGACGTAGGGAACAGCACGAGAGGACAGCTTGTCCGCAGACAAGTCGCGGACAAACGCCCTAGATCCCCAGACCCGGAAACGCGACGCATCACCAACCTTCCCCGTCCACAGCAAAGCAGGGGAGGTCTCCGGCATGGAGACCCGGGGGTGAAGGTTGAGCTGATGCGCCGCGTACCGAACCGCAAACGGCCACAGAAAATGGGGAGCAGCCGCATGGATCATGGACGTACGAGCGACGTCCATGACCATGCCGATGCGGCGCTCAGCAATCCCATTCTGCTGCGGAGAGTCCGGAAGCGTGAAGGTCTGGCGGATGCCTCGTGTGCGACAGAAGGTCCGAAGAAGGTCAGAGGAGAACTCTCTGCCTCGGTCGGAGTGCAGACGCCGAACAGGAAAGTCGGAGCCGAAACTCTCCTGGAGCTGGAGACGAGCCGCGCGGATCCAGGCGATCAACACCTCAGTGACGTCACCCTTGCTGCGCAAGGGGAAGACTGCGGTGTAACGCGAGTAGTCGTCAACCACCAGCAGGAAGTAGCGCTCCTGACCCTGCCCACGGACGCGGGCTGGGCCCCACACGTCCATGTGAAGCGTCTGCAGCGGAGCCTCTGTCGGAGGAAACTCGGAGGAGTGAGGAGCAGCGCGCTGCCGCCCCTCGACGCAGGGAACGCAGGTGGGGGCAGGCCCCGGAGGAAGAGGAGGGAGGGACCGGGGGAGACCAGAAACAAGAAGACGGGAAGCCATGCCTCGAAGGCGAGGCAGGGAGGGGTGACCAAGACGGTGGTGCCAGAGGAGAGTCCGGTGAGACAGGAGACGACACGAGCAGGGGGCAGACTCAGGACCAGACCTGGACGCCGCAGCAAACACCTGACCCGACGCGGCTACCTGAGCAGACTCAGTGACTGGGGAAGACTCAGTAGTCAGTGTGTACAGGCTCGACCCTGGCCGACGAGCAAACGTGGCCAAGTGGCGGCCCGTGTCCGCACAAGTGCAGTGGGTCACCCGCTGACGCGCAGGGGTGAACTGGTCAACTCCTGCATCCTGGAGGTCAGCACCCGCCACCAAGTTCGTAGAGAACGAGGGGAGGTAGAGACCCGACAGGGAGCCAGACGGGACCGCCGGACACGGTAGGACAGTGGAGTAGTGAGCAAGGACAGGACCCCCAGAGGGGTCCGCCAGGGAGACCGCAACAGGCCGACTGAGCGGTGTGAGAGTGGTGCAGTCTCGAAAGAAGGAGCGGGAAGCACCCGAGTCAAGGGTGAAGGTGTGGGTGTCCGGGGGCGACGCAGCACCTGAGAGCGCAAACTCACCGGCACCTGGGGCAGCAGACGCACTGGCACCTAGAGCAGCAGCCTCACCAGCACCTGGGGTAGCAGCCGCACTAGCACCTAGAGCGGCAGCCTCACTCACAGGACACGGCAGCTGCACCTGGCCATCACCAGAAGCTCCCGACCGGCCCACTCCAGAGCGACTACCACTACGGCCACCCCGACAGCCCCAACTGGCGTACCACTCACGAAGCTGCTGGGGTGAAAGAGGACACGGCAGCTGCACCTGTCCACTACCAGAAGCTCCCGACCGGCCCACTCCAGAGCGACTACCACTACGGCCACCCCGACAGCCCCAACTGGCGTACCACTCACGAAGCTGCTGGGGTGAAAGAGGACACGGCAGCTGCACCTGTCCACTACCAGAAGCTCCCGACCGACCCACTCCAGAGCGACTACCACTACGGCCACCCCGACAGCCCCAACTAGCGTACCACTCACGAAGCTGCTGGGGTGTGAGGAACTCACGCTCACGGCCCTGGAGCTGCATCTGGCCTCGCCAGGAGCAGCAGTAGCAGCAGTAGCGGCAGTAACAGCAGTAACAGCAGGAGCAGTAGCAGTGGGAGTAGAAAAGGCAGTAGCAGCAGTAGCAGTGCTGGCAGGGCAATGCTCACCAGTGGTCGGCGCGGCAGGCGCAAGACGGTGGCGACCGCGGGGCCGCTACAACTGCAGGGCGGGGCCGGGCCGCAGCAGGGAGCTCCGCGGCAGCTGCTGCAGGGCGAGGCCGGGCCGCGACGGCAGCTGCTCCAGGGGTGGCTGCTGCAGTGGCGAGCGGCTCCAGGGGCTGCTGCTGCAGTGGCGGGCGGCTCCAGGGGCGGCTGCTGCAGTGGCGGGCGGCTCCAGGGGCGGCTGCTGCAGTGGCGGGCGGCTCCAGGGGCGGCTGCTGCAGTGGCGGGCGGCTCCAGGGGCTGCTGCTGCAGTGGCGGGCGGCTCCAGGGGCTGCTGCTGCAGTGGCGGGCGGCTCCAGGGGCTGCTGCTGCAGTGGCGGGTGGCTCCAGGGGCGGCTGCTGCAGTGGCGGGCTGCTCCAGGGGCTGCTGCTGCAGTGGCGGGCGGCTCCAGGGGCTGCTGCTGCAGTGGCGGGCGGCTCCAGGGGCGGCTGCTGCAGTGGCGGGCGGCTCCAGGGGCGGCTGCTGCAGTGGCGGGCTGCTCCAGGGGCTGCTGCTGCAGTGGCGGGCGGCTCCAGGGGCTGCTGCTGCAGTGGCGGGCGGCTCCAGGGGCTGCTGCTGCAGTGGCGGGCGGCTCCAGGGGCGGCTCCACGGGCAGGTGGCGACGCCGCGGGCAGGGCGACGCGGCAGGCAGATGGCGACGCAGCGGGCAAGGCGACGCAGCGGGCAGGTGGCGACGCCGCGGGCAGGCGACGACGTCGCGGGCAGGCGACGACGCCGCGGGGAGGCAATGACGCCGCGGGCAGGCGACGACGCCGTTGGCAGGGGCTGCGTCGCGAGCAGACGACGACTCCGCGGGCAGACGACGGCGCCGCGGGCAGGCGACGACGCCGCGAGCAGGCGACGACGCCGCGGGCAGGGGCTGCGTCGCGGGCAGGCGACGACGCCGCGGGCAGGGGCTGCGTCGCGGGCAGGCGACGACGCCGCGGGCAGGCGACGACGCCGCGGACAGGGCGACGCGGTGGGCGGCGAGAGCCTGCAGAGGCGGCGCGCGGTCGGGCAGAGGCTGCGCGCGGGCCTGACGGGTCTGCAGGGGCGGCTCTCGGGCGTGACGGGCCTGCAGAGGCGGCTCGGGGGGGGCCTGACGGGTCTGCAGAGGCGGCTCGGGGGCCTGACGGACCTGCAGGGGCAGCTCGAGGGCGCACGAGGGCGCACGAGGGCGTACGAGGGCGCACGAGGGCGCACGAGGGCGCACGAAGGCGCACTAGCAGAGAAAGGCGCACGAGGGCGCACGTAGGGTAGGGCGCACGAGGGCGCTTCTAGCGGAATAGTGGGCCCATTGTAGAAAGCGGTCCTAGGTAGCAACCTAGGCTCGTGATACCATGTTAGAATCTTAGAATAGAACGAGAATGAATGCATTGAGCAGCATGAGGAGTACAAGTACCAAACCCTAGAATGTTGTACCCCATATGAGCTACCCCACTACAGCCTACACAGACTATAGTGTATAAGTTTGACAACACAGCCAACAACATTTGTTAGATAACAGAGAAGGATCTAATGTGACCTTAATCAGAAAACAGCGCGACCTGGGCTTCGACCTGCACATGTTGATCAAGAGGAATTTAAACGAGGAAAGCGCAAGTACTACAGAGCACACACCTACACGAAGTAAACGGAGTGCACGAGGGGAGAGACACACAGCCAATTAGGCGCACTCGTGGCAATTGCAGAAAATAACGAGCTACTGGGACGGTTGAGACTATCGCGACAGTTAAACAACGGCGACGGTTGAGACAATGACAACGGTTGAGACTATGGCGGCGGTTGAGATAACGAGACTGGAAAACGTGCCAAGGAAGAACTAAACTAAAATCAGTCACAGCCACCCTAGAATAACAAAATGAGAGCCCACTTCACCTTTTCTGTGCAAGCGTAAAGGGTAGGGTGGAGGGAGGTGGTGTGGATGGGGTTGGTTAGTTGGCACAAGTGGTGGTGGTTGGGCTGGATTTTGTTGAGGTGGATGCAATGCCGGCTTTGATTGGTTGAACAAAGTGGTATGCTGAGCTGGATTGAATGAGGCGAATTTGGTTGGTTGGAGAGATTTCTGGCCTGGTTGGGGTTGGTTGGGAAAGTGTAATACGGGTGTGCCAAATGCGCGTTGACTTTGGACATATAAATTATTATAAAAATTCGAAGCAGTGTTTGTAGGTCCAGCCAGTTACGAAATTTGGCTCCAATGTGAAAGACCCGGGTTCAAATCCCATAGCGGACCTTTTCTGAAATTTAGCTACTGTCCTCTCCTCAAGCTAGTTTTATTACCTTGCTGCGTCTCAAAATTGAGGTATCATAATGATCCACACTTAACTTACTAATCATAAATTTTTTCAACCTTATTATTGTTTCAACAATTAACATCTGACAAACATTTCATTGAAACATTGCAAAACCATTACTAAAACATCAGCAAAGCATTTGGTCCGACAAAAATGATATACAAATGATATATAGATGATTCCAGGATGATTGTCAAACGATTTTTGAAAACTTGCTTAAAAAAAAATGGTCAGATGATTTCCAGACGCACACATTTTTGTGATGAATATGACAACAATCATCAAGAGCAAGTCATGACTAATGATGATCCGAAGCCGGGAGGTACCAGCGGCACCACCAGTCATGCCAACCATGTGTGTGATAGCAATTATGATGGCAATCAAGATGATGATATTCATGTAGATGATCATGATGGTAATCATGACGAGGATTTGACGCCAGGAATGGAAGGAGATAGTGAGCAGCAGCAGCTTCCGCAGCAGCCAATCAGCGCTTCAATGCTGATGCTGCAGCTCTACCAGAACCCGGGAGCGTTCCCCACTGGCAGGGACCATTTCCCCTCAAACATCTCCCAGCAACAGCATCTCTTCTCCACCATCCCCCAGCAACAGCAACACCCGATTTCCCTGCATGATCCTCACGCCTCGTCTTATCATCCCGGTTATCTCATTCCTCGCGCACCAGGCGTGCTCTTCGGTCCAGCTGTCTACTCGGCTGCTGCAGCAGCTCACCCGGTCCCGGGAGCAGCATCTGTGGGAGCAGCACATGTGGGAGCAGCGTCTTTGGGAGCAGCTCACACGGTCCCTGGAACAGCATCTGTGGGAGCAGCGGCTGTTCCTGTTGAGGCAACCCAAGCTGTTTTCTCAAGCGCAGTCGTGGCAGCACACGCGGTCCCAGGAACAGCAGCTGTTCCTGCCGAGGCAACCCAGGATGCTTCCGCACGCGCAGTTGCAGCACGCGGCGAGGTTCTAGTAGCACCAATCCCCGCATTGGATCGCCTGCAGCAGCAGCCAGCAGCCTGTTACCTTGCTTCTGCTTCCCATGAGATTGCGCTGCCTGCCATGTTTCAGCGTGGAGGTCTAACTGGCGCTTCATCTGCAGCAGCAGCAGCAGCAGCAGCAGCAGCAGCAGCAGCAGCAGCAGCTAACTTGGGGCCCATCAGCGGAGCAGGATTCGCCAATGGTGGGGGTGTCAATGCTGCCACTGTTACAGCCACAGCTGTTTTTCAACTGCCCATTTTTCAGGTGCCCGGTTTCCAGCTGCCCGGTTTTCAGCTGCCCGGTTTCCAGGTGCCCGGGAGGCCTCTCCCTCCGCCACCTGTCATCACGCACACGTGGGCGGGGCGAATGCGCCACAGCCAGCTGCCTCAGCCTGCTCCCCTGCTGCAACAACTGGTACTATCCCCATAGGCCTTGTTCAGGCTGCCGCACCAGGCAATGGTTCGTTTAAAAATGACTCAGTATCTGCATCGTCGTCGTTTCCATACCCTGGGGATGTAGGGTTGGTTGGAAACACTATCGTAAGTGGTGCTGCTGGTGGTGTTGTTGCTTCAGGGCGTGGCGGCGGTGTGGGAGCAGCAGCAGCAGCAGCAACTGATGTTGTTGCTGCTGCCACCGCTGCAGGTGTGATGGCCGCAGTTTATGGCAATGCTGTTGCTGCTGCACCCCACGCTGGGGCTGCTGCTGCTGCTGCTGCTGCTGCTGCTAGTTGCGGCGGTGCTCTGGAGATGAATTCTCACCATCTTGACAATGCTGACAACTGTGATGATTCAGATTCTGCTGCTTCGGCAAGGGCAAGTGGGCAGCGCAGCATAGGCCTGAAAGGTCCAGACACATAGGGATGGAGCGGCTCGTTGCTGCACTGCTTTGAGGCGCCTCAAAAGTCCGCAAGGGCAAGTGGGCAGCGCAGCACAAGCCTGAGAGGTCCAGACACATAGTGATGGAGTGTACCAACACTTTGCCGCACTGCATTCAGTCTACCGTACCAACATTGCTTCATGTAGTAGTGGCTTCATCCGTGAGTAGCAGCTGCCATGGTGTACAGTATTCTGTTTATTCAAGCATATATTTTAAGGCAATGCACCGCACTGCACCCCTTAAAAAACTCGTGTCAGCCGTTAGAGATGAGAGGCCGAGCAAGGCTCTGAGTGAGGTAAATATTGTCTCTCTAAAAGCCCATGTAAATGCTGCTGCTGGGCTACTGACAGAGCTGGCACTGCACGCCGTAGATTTGTTCAAAGTTTCCTCCGTTGGAAAGAAACATCCCTACTCACCACCACCTTTCCAAGTTTGAAGGAATGCACTCTAGTACCGTACCGTACCGTACTGTACCGTACCGTACCGTAAGGGTGCTTACTGCAGCGTTACTGCAGGGAGAGGTCTCAAGGCGGCACATGCAAGGGATATTCACAAAGGAGGGAAATCTACACTACTGCGCATACATACATCAGAAACAAACTGAGATGGAGACAGAAGTATCTCACGGAAAAGGCACGGGGAGCAGTGGCAAATGATTACATCCAACCCATCATAACCTTCCAGGCGCAAGTTTACCCGCCGCCTGCGAAAGTTTGGGTGGAGCTGGAGAGGATGATTCACAATTTTGTCTTGGGAAACAAGCAACATCAACGCGAGGCTTCTTCCTCTGGAGTAAGGAGCTGTTGTACACCCCCCGAAGCGACGGCGGTCTTGGTGTGAGCGACCCAAGTATCACCCTTGCATGTCTGTCGGCGAGGAGGATCGGGCTGTTTATGACGGAGACGAACCAGCTGAAACGGAGTTTGATGGTCCAGGCAGCGGACCTTCCCTTGGGGCTGGACACCTTCATGTCGCATGATCGCCTCCTGCGGCACTGGGAGGGAAGGAGTCAGAGATGGAAGCAGACCTGTGAAACTTCTATGAAGTCGCCGTTATGCGTAAAAAAAGTTAACGTGGTGCGGGAAGTGATCGCGGAGGAAAGGCTGGTTTTCAACAAAGCCATCATGCTCGGCGTAGCAACACCCGTGGGGGGACAGAAAGACGCAGAACTGTTAAACATTATATGAAATTTTTCGAAAGTGTGTAACACTTTCTAAAAATGCGTATTGTGAAAGCGCAGCTGCCTGTAACGAAGCAAAGCAACGGCGAATTACAATTCGCCGAGTATATAACCAGGGTTGGAGGCCATTCGGCCTCCACCCACGACTTCATTTCGGAACATTGCAGTTCCACTTCATTCTCGTCCAACCACCTCGAAGGTTTCCTTTGTCACTAAGAAACCGTTTACGAGTTCTCCATTCGCTTGATTTTCTATGAAGGGTGACGCTATTACGCGTGCGACTGTACTTGGCGGGCGCTCAACCGAGCGCGAAGTGCGCCGGACGAAACGCCAACAGGCGCGCCAGAGACGAAATCGCCATTGGCATGCACTAATGACGAAATCGCCACCGACGCCAGTGGCGCGCGCTAGGGACGAAGTTGCCACTGGCGCCAGGGGCGCGCGATTGGGACGAAACTGCCACTGGCGCAAGTGGCGCGCGCCAGGGACGAAATCACCACACGCGCGCATGTGGCGAAATCGCCACGGGCGCCAGTGGCGAAATCGCCACCAGCGCCCCGGGGACGGAATGGCCGTTGGCGCGGCAGTGACGAAATTGCCACTACAGCGCCTTAGTCGTTTATTTGGGAGTCATTTTTTGCCTAAGTGCTGCAAGTCATTTGTTTTTTATTTCTTATTTATTTATTTATTTTTCTCATGAGTTTCCTTTTTGTGGTCTCTTCGTTCATTTTCTATTCATCTCTCTGCTCCTCTTATCCGTTGGTGGCAGAAAATCAGGCTCAACACTACAGTCGTGAAATGACTTTTACAAAAACTCTACAAGTCGCGCGCGAGCATTACGTTGACGACATGATCAACTGCACGCGCCCCCAAGGACGTCGCCCAATGACACGAGTGGGCCGAGGGTCTCCACGTTGGCCTGAGAGCCGTCCTCAGGGGTGGAAGGGGACTGAGGGTCCCGTGTGGCCTGAGAGCCGTCCCCCAGGGGGGGAAGGGGACCGAGGGTCCCCGTGTGGCCTGAGAGCCGTCCCCCAGGGGGGGAAGGGGACCGAGGGTCCCCGTGTGGCCTGAGAGCCGTCCCCCAGCAGGGGAAGGGGACCGAGGGTCCCCGTGTGGCCTGAGAGCCGTCCCCCAGGGGGGGAAGGGGACCGAGGGTCCCCGTGTGGCCTGAGAGCCGTCCCCCAGGGGGGGAAGGGGACCGAGGGTCCCCGTGTGGCCTGAGAGCCGTCCCCCAGGGGGGGAAGGGGACCGAGGGTCCCCGTGTGGCCTGAGAGCCGTCCCCCAGGGGGGGAAGGGGACCGAGGGTCCCCGTGTGGCCTGAGAGCCGTCCCCCAGGGGGGGAAGGGGACCGAGGGTCCCCGTGTGGCCTGAGAGCCGTCCCCCAGGGGGGGAAGGGGACCGAGGGTCCCCGTGTGGCCTGAGAGCCGTCCCCCAGGGGGGGAAGGGGACCGAGGGTCCCCGTGTGGCCTGAGAGCCGTCCCCCAGGGGGGGAAGGGGACCGAGGGTCCCCGTGTGGCCTGAGAGCCGTCCCCCAGGGGGGGAAGGGGACCGAGGGTCCCCATGTTTGGCCTTGCCGTACGATGGGCCGAAATTCGAACAATGTGGTGTGCGTTAGTATGGATGGGTCATCCCTGGCTTTTATGTACCATATATGATAAGATACTAAAAAATAAGTGGCTCATGCATTTCTTGACCAACAAAGGCTGGTTCAGAGCCCCACCAAAATCCAGGAAGCAACTGTTTGGAGTGATTTGTTACAAATGGTTGATATGGTGCAACTCAATACGGTATGAATATCGCAGGTGACTTGACTACGGTTGTTCACGAACACTCTTACACCACAAGCAATGTTTTTCCCCAAATAAGGGCACTGAGAAGGGGATTGATTTTCGCCGTCTTCCTATCCCACTTTGTTCGCTCACACCCGACAGGGAGATAAAAACATGTGTGTGATACGACTTGTATGCTATCACAAGTTCGCGTCTCGTTAAGAACTTGAATGGGCCTTTGGTTGGGAGTTCAAGACGGGATTTGTGTGCCAAGGAGAGAAGTATGTTCCTGTCCAACCAACACGACGGACAACCCCCCCGCTACTGCCAATTCAATCCCATGCATCCACTCTGTAGTTAGTCAGGAACGGAACATCCAACGGTTCGAAGTGCAGAGTACAGCGGAGCACATGTAAACTACTACCTCTCTACAAATTGTAACGTACATTGGGCGTGTAGTAGAGTTTCAAGGCTAACTCTGAAGTTTCAGAGATTTTCGGAAGTGTACTCTGATCCCACGAGCGCTTTAGCGGGTACCTACTTTGACCTGACAGGTGCGATTTGCGCTGGAAGTACAAATTTGTCATATCACTCCCGCTGAAACAGTGACAGCAGTGCTGCGGCGAGGTTAGCTCCCCTTTTTAGGCTGATCAATTAGCTCAAAACTGAGGTGAACTTTCTTTATCAGACTTTATACGATTGAACTCTGAAATTTCAACATTTTTTCTTGTACCAAGTCTGATTGACCGGACAAATTGTGTTTACTAAGTCTGACGAATCAACCAACCCAAAGACGAATCTGAGGGCCTGCATGAGACATAAGCTTTTGGGGCCCCTGTTTACAAATAACATGCTTCAGCCTTAGTCGTTTCTGGTGTGTGAGTGTACATAGTGTACTTCTGTGGTATCTGAATGGCAGTACCCAGATGGCAGTACACAAGTGCCACCACGCGAGCAACGCCAATGGTCGCATGATTAGGGTAACTGCTGAATTTTAACCGACTACTCAACGAATCGGTAGAATAGCGAATCGATGGAAGATGAGTTCTCCGCACATGCAGGATATTGCACTATTTTGGTGCCTCACGTCCTTTCTCCGTGCCAAACCATGTGAGAATCACAGAAACCTAAGTGAAAAGGAAAGAGATTGGTGAACCCAAGGTTTAGGTTGGTCAGATTGGTTTCGCTGCTGATCCGTACAACGCTGCCGGACAAGTGTAGCACCGCCAGGCTCCTCCGCACCAAGCGACTGTTCTTGACTGCTGTGAGCTCAGTTGCGATGCATATTGCTTGGCTCGCACTTGCAAGGTCGCGCGACGCGCGCCCCTTACATTGCGAGCATCACACATGACTTGGAAAAGTCAGCACGAGGCACATACATGCAATCGCGATAAATTGCGACAAAATTTGGCAGTCACGCAACACTTGGAAAAATTGCGACAAATCACGCAAGAATCCTGCCGACACCTGCACCGGTGATACACGAGTATGTTTCCGGATGTAAGCCTTCTGACTTCAGGGCAATGACAAATCAAAGTGCCTCATTTCTGGCCGACGTGCCGTCAGAGTTGGGAAACAAAAGCATGGGCGTGAAGCGACCTGCA